AAATCTTCCATCAGCTGCTTAACTTCACAAATGGCCACAACAGCCAGGGCTGCATGAGGCTGAAGCCAGGAGCCAGGAAGTCCACCCAGGTCTCATGTGGGTTGCAAAGACACAAGCATGTGGACCATCTTCAGCTTGTTTACCAGGTACAATGGCAGAGAGCTGGATAGTAACCCAGCAGTAGGGAAAAAAACCGCTACTCTGATATGAAATGCTAATAGCACAAACACCAAGTTTTCTTATGTTTTTGTTTTTGTTTTTGTTTATTTTTAGGGGGTCCAGTGCAATGGCTCAACTGGCTAATTCTCTACCTCCAAGTGCCAGATTCTATGTAGGCGCCAGTTTGTGTACCTGCTGCTTCACATCCCATCCGACTGTGACCTGGGAAAGAAGTAGATAATGGTCCAATGTCTTGAGACACAGGGAAATCCAGAAGAAATTCCTGGTTCCTGATTTCAGCTAGGTTAAGCTCTGGCCATTGCACCCATCTGTGGAGTGAACCAGCGATTGCAAGATCTTTCTGTCTCTTTCTCTATATAAGTCTAATTTTACAATCACAACTAGAAAAATATATTGATAATAAAAAAGGTTTATTTTCACTTGAAAGGCAGAGCTATAGAGATCTTCCACCCACCGATTCACTCCCTAAATGGCCACAGTGGTCAGGCTGGGTTAGCCTTGGCCAAGCTGAACCCAGATATCAGTAGATCCCTTCAGGTCTCCTAGTGGGTGGAGTTGCCCAAGTTCCTCTGTTTCTTTCCCAAGCAAATATGCAGAGAACTGGATCACAACTAGAGCAACCAGAACTCAAACCAGTACACACATGGAATGCTGGCATTGCAGGTGGCAGCTTTATCTGCTGTGTGTCAAATCAGTTTATTATATATACAAAAGCTTTTATTTATTTTTACTGGAAGAGCAGATTTAGAAAGAGGAGAAATGTAGGCCCCGGTCTCCCAAGGGTTAACACCACAGCTTAACTTCCTTCTCAAAGTGTAACAGGATGGGCAATGTTGGCCTGATGCATTCATTCAGCCCCCAGCTTGTCTGGCAAGTTCCCTCCTTCCTGCTTCCCCCCCTTTTTACATACCCTCGGGGGAGCTTAGGTGTTGCTTAAGCTTTAGGAAATGCCTGGAGGTGCCAAGCAGACTATAAAAGATGCAGCTTGACTTGAAATAAACCAGCATTCTCCTCACATGAATGACCCATTGTGTGTTGTGTGTTTTGTCTGTCTTATAACCCTAGTCCCTCCGCTGGGCTCGGCTCGGGGTGCGTGGTGACGCGGGCGTGGCCCACAGATAGAGACAGAAAGATTGTCCGTCTGCTGGTTCATTACCCATGTGGCTACAACATCTGGAGCTGATCCAAAGCCAGGAGTCAGGAACTAAGCTTCTTCCAAATCTCCCATGTGGGTGTAGGCTCCCAAGGCTTTCGGCCCTCTACTGTTTTTCCAAACCACAAGCAAGGAGTTAGATGGACAGTGGAGCAGCCTGGACATGAACTGGCAACCAAATGGGATCCTGGCACATGCAAGGTGAGGGCTCGAGCCACTGAGCCATTGCATCGGGGTCCTCATTAGTTTTTGGGGGGGGGAAAAAGCAGTTTTCTGAACAGTAGGACCTACTTGCTACATAAAATTATCACCTATCTTGAAAAAAGTAGAATATGTTAGTAAAGGAGGTTCGTAAAAAGGAACTTAGATAGAAAGTACCTTGGAGAGAAAGTGCAGGGGAAAGCAGCAAAAGCTGGCCCAAGTCCTTGGGGCCTGTCACCCATGTGGAAACCTCATAAAAGCTCCTGGCTCCTTGCACCTATTTGAGAAGTGAACTAAGAGAACTATCCATCTGTCTGTCTCTTTCTTTCTATTTCTCTCTCTCACACACACACACTTGCCTTTCAAAGAGTAAAATAAATCTTTTAAAAAGAAAAAAAAAAGCTATGACTTTGTTATTTTCAACAGCTGCGGAGAGGTGAAATGGGGAGGCAACAGTTAAGAGGTGCAACATTTCAATTATTCAAAATAATTAAATTCTAAATATCTATGATATTATACAGTGCCTGTAACTGACAACATGGTATTGTATAATTGAGAAAAGGGTAGAGATTGAGTATTCCTATCAAACAGAGTAACAATACTACTAACATATGAAAGAGTAATGGATGTGTACTTGACCTTGATGATATTTTTCCTGTATACAATTAGACTCAAACTTCTCAACATGTACACATTAAATATGTACAGCTTTTTATATGTCAAAAATCATACTTCAATAAAAAAGGTTTTTAAAAGTCAAAAAAAAAAAAAGCTATCCCTGAAAACAAGGAAAAAGTAAGGAAAACAAAGGAGAAATACCAGTATCTCATACACACAATGGCTGGTGTCTCAGCTGCTCCACGCAGATCCAGCCACTGGAAGAAAGAGGAATATTGTCCAACTGTTTGAACTCCTGCTAAACACATAGGAGATAAAAATGAAGCTCCTGGTTCCAGTCTAGGCAACCCTAGCCATTGCAGCCATCTGGGTCGTGAACTAGCAAACAGATGGTCAATGCATCTGTCTGTTTCTCAGCTCCAGCCATTGTGGCCACTTGGAGAGTGAACTGGAGGATAGAAGATCTTTCGCTTCTATGTTCTTCTATCTGCATTTCCAATAAAAAAAATCATCAATTCTTTTATTTTGTTTCTTTCCTTTTTTTTTGAAGGCAGATGTACAGAGGGGAAGAGAGAGGGGAAGATCTTCCGTGGCTGCAATGGCTGGAGCTGAGCCAATCTGAAGCCTGGAGCCAGGAGCTCTTCTGGGTCTCCCACACGGGTGCAGGGTCCCAAGGTGTTGGGCCGTCCATGACTGCCTTCCGAGACCACAAGCAGGGAGCTAGATGGAAGTTGAGCTGCCAGGATTAGAACTGACGCATGCAAGGCGAGAACTTTAATAACTACACTATTGTGCCAGGCCCACCAAATCTTTAAAAATAAAAAATAAATAAAAAGCTCCTGGGTCTTGGTTTTGGCCTGGCAATGTGGCCATGCAGGAAGTAAACAGGTGGTTGGAGAATTCACTCTGGTTCTCCCTTTCTCTCTGTAACTCTGCCCCTCAAAGAAATAAATCTTTATATAAACAAAAAACGAGGAAGGGTGAACATAAAGGAAAAAACAGGAAAAAAAGAAAAGAAAAATAGGAGGCGCAGGAGAGGCAGGTACTGTGATGTGATGTGATGAGTTAAGCCACCAACAGCAATGCATGCTCTCAGTCATTATCAGAGTGCCAGTTAGAATTCTGCCTGCTCCATTTCCAAGTCAGTTTTCAGTAATGGTGCCTGGGTAGGAGCAGATGATTCAAGTGCATGGCTGCCTACCACCCAAACAGGAGAACCACAGCGCCCTCTGAGCTCCTGGCTTCAGCCTGGTCCAGCTTTGGCTGCAGTGAGCATTTGGAGAGCAGACTGACAGGTGGAAGATCTCTCTTTCTGCTGCTCTACCTTTCAAATAGATGAAAACAAACTTTTTTGGGGGGTGGGGTAAAGAAGAGGGGCTGAGATGGAGCTACAGCCCTATGACACCAGCACTATGACCCTATGCACTTTGACACCGGCCTCCCATACAGGTACCAGTTTGTGTCCTGGCTGGAACACTTCCAATGCAGCTCCCTGCTTATGGTCTGGGAAAGAAAGAGGATGGTCCAAGTCCTTGGGAACCAGCACCTACATAGGAGATCTGGAGGAAGCTCCTGGTTCCTTGCTTTGGATTGGCTCAGCTCGGGCCATAGTGGCCATTTCGAGTGAACCAGCAGTGTAGAAGAGCTGTCTCTCCTCTCTATAAAAACTACCTTTTAGATTAAAATAAACAAATCTTTAAAATAAAGAAAGAAAACGAAAATAGAAAAACAAGACAGGAGGAAATAGTAGACTTACCCCAGTTAGGAACTAGCAAATTTGTTGTGATGGGGCAAGTGGTTTAACTGTAATCTTAAGACTCTGTGGACTGCAACTACTCATCTATACTATGGCACATTATATGTGGCACAGAAGCATGGCTATGTTCCAACAACTGTTGTTTATGAAAACAGTAAAATTTGCCACTTAGACTACTTGGAAAACGTTTCTGTTCGTATCAATAGTTTTTCTTATTCTCAGAAGGAAATATTGTAGTGAGTAGCAGGTTTTAAAAATACTAGTCTGTCACACAAGCTGTGGAAATGGCATCCCTCGGGCCCAGGTAGATAGTGTAGTGGTTAAATCCTTGCCTTACACGTGATGGGATCCCATATGGGTGGCAGTTCATGTCCTAGCAGCCCTGCTTCCCATCCAGCTCCCTGCTTCTGGTCTGGGAAAGCAGTCGAGGATGGCCCAAAGCCTTGGGACGCTGCACCCACGTGGGAGACCCAGAAGAGATTCCTGGCTTCTGGCTTCAGATTGGCACAGCTCCGACCATTGCAGCCACTTAGGGACTGAACCAGACAGAAGATCCTCCTCTCTGCCTCTCCTCCTCTCTCTATAATTGACTTTCCAATAAAAATAAATAAATCTTTAAAAACAGAAACGCCTCCCTAATATGAATGAGGGCAAAGTCAGCCTTTTTTAATCCCTTACTTACCTTAACCACTTGTGTTACCTTCATCATTCAAAGGTAAGCCTCTCTCCTGCTGCACTATCTCTCCCATGAAGTTACCCTTCACAATCCAGCCTGCTCAGAAAAGGAAAATGATCATTTGCATCATCTGTGACTTTCCCCACACTCAGCTTGAGAAGCAATGGCAGATATTAAAAGAGAGAATGGGAAGAAGAGAGAAAACATCAGCTGTTGTTTAACCCAATCACTTTTAAAGCGAGTTCTTATATTATAATGGGGGAAAATTCCAACAAAACATTCATGATATATTACACATTTATAAGTTATTTATGTCTGTCCAATTATCTGGCCTAGAAGTGCCATATCATATTTGCTTTTCCCTTCCTCTTCTCTACCACCAACTAAAGAACTCACTCAAACCATTGAGAACTTACCAAAGCGTCTTGAGTATTTCCAAAAGTCATTCACAGCAACAATGAGTCATCCTGGCTCTCCAGGGAACTCCATGAGGAATAGATCTTCTTGCTGTTCTTGACCAGAAATCTGCATGTATCAAAAGCATCCCAGATGATTTCTTGCATTGTAAAATTTGACACCATGAAAATTTCTACCATCAGGCAAACACAATTCCAGAAACCATGAAAAAGATCTTTCAATGAAAAATAAAATAGATTTCTATCTCCCATGGTCTCTTTAGATTAGGGAGCTTTAATTAGGGAGAAGTCACAGTATTGCATTAGATGAAATTCACTTTCTGTATCAACCAGCTATCACCAAGATTTCTAACTTTCTCATCCATAAAAATGGGAGGAGAAAGAGCAAGATTATACTGTAATCTGCATATTTTAAGACCTGTTTTCTCATCATAATGGGGAAAATATCAGGTAAGTGTCAAGTGCCTATTAAGACCACCTGTCCTATGCCACCCCTCTGGCTGTGCAAGTCCACTATCTACTTACCAAGAGTCCCCAAAGATTTGACAACCTTTCAATTCTCTCATAAATTCTCTCAATATACCTCTTCACCATGGCATGGTATCTGATTGCATCTGGAGTTGCCTGCAGAATTGGACAAAGACCAACTGTTAAAATGGACCAGTCACAGCTTGAAATATAGCTGTGATCTATCTTAGTTGAGTATTAAGCCAGTCATACCACAGACCTGATTTTGCACTTGCTTAGTTCAGATTAGCATCACAATTTGTGCTTCATCTGGCATCATTTATTCCAAAGCCTATAATTAATGCTTTTAAAGGATTCTTACTCTGATTTTTAAGGGGCTATCATGGTACATAGGTACCCAGTGACTACACCAACGTATTTGAACTCAAATGTAACTCTGGGCTCTAGACTATGTCCTATCATTTACAATCTCAACTCCCACGAATACTTGCCTTACCATTGGTGAAGAGGAGCTCAACATTATCTGTTGCCACATCTAGCTGTCTGGGCTATCAAACTGATCCTAAAAGACTAGGCTAGCCAGTGATTAATTTTCTACCTCCATGATTCAGTCAATAGGGGAGCAGGCCTCTGAGATGCAAAACCACAAAGACAAGCCAAAGACACCCAAGGATCCTTTCTTTGCAAAGAAGTCTCTGTTACTAGCTGTTCACCATGAAATCTGGCAGTTGAGCAATGGCCCAAAGCCCAGATTATCAACTGTTACTATTAGATGTTGGCTAGGATTCCTGCAGGTTCACTCTCACCTCAAATCCCAAGAATTATGGGATAGATTCCCAGTCTCATGTTTAGCTGTTGAACTTACCACCAGCAGAAAAGGATCTGTCCTCTAATCTACTAATGACCATGAGTCCTAGGTAGTTGTCCTACTTAGGTGGTGCGATGGGGGAGGCGGGAGGGCACGCTGGTGCTGCTTAGCTCGGGAGATAAGACAAGGAGGAGCCTTGTTAGCTTTGATACATCTCTTTTTTGAAGCAACTATAGCCCTGAAGCTGCCATTCACCAAAGCAAGATCTGCACACCCAGAAGCGGTGGCTGCCATCAGCAGTTATTGTGGCTTCTTAAAATCCAGAGTAGAGGCTGGCCTTGTGGCACAGCAAGCAAAATTACCACCAGTATCACAGGGATCACACATGGGCATTTGTCCAAGTCCCAACTACTCCACTTCAGATGCAGCTATCTGCCAATGTGCCTGGGAAAGTGGCAGAAGATAGCCTGACAAGCCTGCATCCATATGGGATACTGGCACTTGCAGGCAGATGATTAGCCAACTGAGCCCTCGTGCCAGTCCCTGAAATAATAAATATTAAAAATGAGATGAAGTAAGACCCTGAGGAACAAGGTTGCAAAAGGAATGTGTAGAGGAAGTAATTCGGAAACAAATATTAAATATAAATCCTGATCCACAAAATGCATGCATTAAAGATCTAAGAATAAGAGGGCTAACTGGAACCTCTCATACAGTAGTCAGGAAAAATAATGTGACCCAATGGATTGGGCCACAGCTTGGGATGCCCATGTCCCTGACTGACTCCTCTGCTTATAAACCAACTTTACTGCTAACATATCCTGGGAGACAGTAAACTTTTTTTTTTTTAGATTTTTATTTTTATTGGAAAGTCAGATACACAAAGAGGAGGGGAGAAAGAGAGGAAGATCTTCCATCAGATCATTCACTCCCCAAGTGGCCACAATGGCTGGAGCAGAGCTGATCCGAAGCCAGAAGCCAGGAGCTTCTTCAAGGTCTCCCACATGGGTGCAGGGTCCCAAGGCTTTGGGCCGTCCTCAACTGCTTTCCCAGACCAGAAGCAGGGAACTAGATCGGAAGCAGGGCTGCTGGGATTAGAACCGGCGCCCATATGGGATCCTGGGTGCGTTCAAGACTTTAACCACTAGGCCACGGCACCAGGCCCGAGAGACAGTAATCTTTACCTCTCCTTTCCCTTAGCCAATGTAGAAAACCCAACGGAAGCTCCTGGATTCAGCCTGGCACAGCTCTGGCCATTGTAACCATTAGAGAAGTGAACCAGAGGATAGGGGGTTTCTCTGCCTCTACCGATTCTCTTCCTAACTCAGGCTTTCAAGAATCTTTAAAAAAATCTATTTATAAAAATTCTAAGGAGTTATGCTAATACTGAATATTATCTCATTGGCATTTCAATGACACTGATGCTTAAAGAGGGGTCCCAGCGCGGTGGCCTAGTGGCTAACTCCTAACCTTGCACACACTTGGATAACATATGGGTGTTGGTTTGTGTCCTGGCTGCTCCACTTCCCATCCAGCTCCCTGCCTGTGGCCTGGGAAGCAGTCGAGAATGGGCCAAGGCCTTGGGACCCAGTACCCACCTGGGAGACACAGAAAAAGCTACTACTGGCTCCTCACTTCAATTCAGTTCAGCTCTACCCATGGCAGCCACTTGGGGAGTGAACCAGCAGATGGAAGATCTTTGTCTCCCCTTCTTGGGCCTGGTGCGGTGGCCTAGCAGCTAAAGTCCTCGCCTTGCACACCCGGGATCCCATATGGGCACTGGTTCTAATCCCGGCAGCCCTGCTTCCCATCCAGCTCCCTTCTTGTGGCCTGGGAAAGCAGTCGAGGACGGCTCAAAGTCTTGGGACCCTGCACCCATGCGGGAGACCCAGAAGAGCTCCTGGCTCCTGGCTTCAGATTCACGTAGCACCAGCCATTGCAGTCACTTGGGGAGTGAATCATCAGACAGAAGATCTTCCTCTCTGTCTCTCCTCCTCTCTGTATATGTGACTTTGTAATAAAAATAAATCTTAAATAAATCTTAAAAAGAAAGAACCAAGCAGAATCAACTCAGAAAGCCACAGTAGTGAATGAAATGCACTGCAGTATATGCACTGTACCTTGACTTCCCTCCACTATTTCCAATAAATAGTGAGCGGCAGCCTCTTTTGTTCCAAGACAAAATGGCTTCTTTTTCTGGCGACCCCTCATTCTTGGGCAGATCTATTTATTTACGGTTAGGCTGACACGCTGTTCATGCCAAGGTGGAAAATACTTTCAAGTATCAGAAGAAGTTAGTTTCCAACACCATACACAGCCAAGATCAAAATGAATAATGACAGAAGTATTTTTTTTAAAGATTTATTTTTATTATTTTTTCATAGGAAAGGCGGATATACAGAGAGGAGAGACAGAGAGGAAGATCTTCCGTCCGATGATTCACTCCCCAAGTGAGCGCAACGGGCCGATACTATGCCGGTCCGAAGCCAGGAGCCTCTTCCGGGTCTCCCATGCGGGTGCAGGTTCCCAAAGCTTTGGGCCGTCCTCGACTGCTTTCCCAGGCCACAAGCAGGGAGCTGGAAGGGAAGCGGGGCTGCCGGGGATTAGAACTGGCGCCCATATGGGATCCCGGGCGTGCAAGGCGAGGACCTTAACCACTGTGCCACTGCGCCGGGCCCAACAGAAGTATTTTTAAAACAAACTCGTAAGTTAAGGTGCTATAACAAAAACAGTAACATATTTTTGTAATTACATAATCAATGTGGATGGCACATAATTTGACACTGTACAATTTTGTCTACTCTTCTGCATGCATGTTTGAAAACTTTTGTAAAGAAATACTGGAAAAATTCAGCAAGTAGCCTGAAAAATGAAGCTATAAGGCTTTTACCTCCATCTTACCCCTGGAACAGAATGATGCCTACCCGGTGTTCCCTCCATTTTGGTTCTCTAGATGTAGCTTTCTTCTATTTGACTTGGAGACCTCTAATTTTCCAATGAAGCAATATGGATCAACATGAATTTTTAAGTAGGTCACCAAGAAAGTACACAAAAGGCAGGGAAGGTGATAGAGGACAGGGCTCCCTGTCTGCCCAAGTCTGAACAAAAGAATATTTCAGAAACCTTCCATTTTCACTTAAAAATAACCATTAGGACTTTATCTAGCATAGCTTTCATTTCTGTTTAATCCCAAATTATTTTCTTATTTCCATATTCTCATTGCAAACAGTTTTGTAAGAATGAAGGGGCCAGGCCAGGCGCAGTAGTCTAGCACCTAAGTCCTCACCTTGCATGAGCCAGGATCCCATATGGGCGCCGGTTCTAATCCCTGCAGCTCCACTTCCCATCCAGTTCTCTGCTTGTGGCCTGGGAGAGCAGTCAAGGCCGGCCCAAAGCTTTGGGACCCTGTATCTGCATGGGAGACCTGAGAGAGGCTCCTGGCTCCTGGCTTCACATCAGCTCAGCTCCAACTGTGGCTGCTTGGGGAGTGAATCAATGGACGGAGTATCTTTGTCTCTCTGTCCCTCCTCTTCCTCTCTGTATATCCGATTTTCCAATAATAAAAATAAATAAATCTTAAAGAAAAGGGGAGCAACAGCGTGGACCCAAACAGGCCTCACTAGGTGGGACACAAAGATTAGTTACGCCTCACTGGGGTATTGGGGATTTCTCTGCACACCCATCCTAAATTTAAAAAAAAAAATGTCTTGTACCTAAACTGATGACTGTATGGAATCAGGTTGAATACAAACCAAAATTGAAATGTCTATGAAGAAGTCACAGGATGTAGTTAAGAAACCGCATCTTCCCCATCAACATACTATTAATCAATGTCATGTCAATTGATGCCATGAGGTTGTAAATGGCTGTTGAGGGCATGTGGGGCCTTTAATCGTTTGGGATGAAGCTTAGCTGGACTTACCTTCAGACCAGAGATGGTCTCACCAAGAAATCGCTGAACCCACTAAGATAATAAGTCACTAGACTTTATGCTTGGTAAATATTTCCAATGGAAGAACCACAACTGAATTTGAACTGTGGTAATGCAACAAGGTGGAGAAATCCACCATGGGGAGAGGGTTCGGGGAGGGGTGGGGGAAATCCTAGTGCCCATAACACTGTGTCACATAATGCAGTACAATTAATAAAATTAAAAAAAAAAAAAAAAAGAAAAGGGGGGCAAGAAGAAAAGGCACCAAGCTGTTCTATGTCCAGCGCTTCATATCAGGCTATAACAAAGGAATTTCTGCAGCTGGAAGCCAAAACTTGACATTGAAAGACATGGACAACGGACTACATATCCCTACAGGAGGCCTTATTATCCTCTATTTTAAATTCTACTAGGCCCATCTGAAAACAGGAAAAACACTGGTCATAACAAAAAGGAAGTACAAAAAGCATGTACAGAAGTGTCTGGTACGCTAAAGAGATGGGATGCGAAAGGGTAATTGTAACGGGGACCAGAAACCATCACGCCTGGGTATCGGCCAAGAACAAGAGCAGCAGGCCATGGCACCTCTAATAGAGGAGTTAGGTTCCTGCGTTAGCACCTCTCACCCAGGTCCCCCCTTAAAGAAGTGTCAGCAGCCACAGCATCTGTAAATACCAAGGACCAAAATACAAACACACACACACACACACACACAGACACACACGGACACAATTGTGAAGAAATAGCAGGTTTCTGAGCATACAAGATTTGAAGAAACAGTTGACAGTCCAGAGCCTGTGGAGATCACTCTAGCAGGCACACAATAAATGCTTGTTGATGAGTCATTCATTTATTCATCCAATAAACATTTATTGAGGCCTACTAATGTGCCAAGCTGGGCTCTGGAAATGAAGACATATCACTGCCCTCAGGAGCTTACAGTCTGATTAAAAAAAAAAAAAAAGAGACAGAGAGAGAGACAGAGACATATACACAGACAATTACAATACAATCTGGTAAGTGCTATAACACTTATCAGGTTGTATTATAATGGCCGATGTAAATTTCTTTCCTGGGGCTGCTGCTCCAAGTGCTGCTGGGTTGGCTATAAGGTCCAGAGAGGGGAGAAGTGGTAGACAATGAAAGTTAAATGCTTTGAGGTATTTCAGGCATCTAGGTGCTCCCTGATCATAAATGCCTTTGGAAACTAGACAATGGGATGATGTATTTTAAGCACGGGCTTGCTGAAGACAGGCACAGGTATTTAACAACGTGCTTTTCAAAAACGTGCTCCTTCAAAAACCTGCTTTTCCTTTTTGTTTGTGCACCTCTCTGCCTCTGCAAGCTTCACTACCTTCATACGCTTGGGCCTGGTTTAATACCTGTAGCTGACAAAATCCTGAAAAACACAAACTTAAAATTCCTGACATTAACCCAGTGTGACTGTACAACCAAAGCAATTAAGAAACAGCTCACCTGGCACCTGTAAATCATAAACAACACTTGCTTTTCATTGGTAAAACAATAATTTGGATCTTGTGAAATGCAAAAGGATGATATGTCAATCACAAAATAAGCTAGAAAGGTTTAATAAGTGGACCTGCTTCAACAGCCTATTGGCTAAATACTCCCCTTGCGTCTGCCTGGATCCCATATGGGCACAGATTTGGTTTGTGTCCAGACTGCTCCACTTCCCTTCCAGCTCCCTGCTTGTGGCCTGGGAAAGCAGTTGCGGATGGCCCAAAGCCTTGGGAACCTGCACCTACATGGGAGACACGGAAGAGGCTCCGGGCTCCTGGATTTAGATTGGCGCAGCACCAGCCGTTGTGGCCACTTGGGGAGTGAATCATAGAATGGAAGATCTCTTTCTGTCTCTCCTCTCTGTCTGCCTTTCCAATTAAAAAAAACAATCTTCTAAAAAAAAAAAACCTGCACATAAATACAAAACAGGGGCTCATGTGGTGGCATAGCTGCCTGCAAGCTCTGGCATCCCACATGGGTGCCAGGCTGCTTGGCTTCCAATCCAGCTCCTGCTCATGACCTGGGAAAGCAGTGGAGGATGGCCTGGTGGGACCCCAGGCTCCAGCATCCATGTGGGTATGCTGGGAAAAAACCTCCTGGTGCCAGCTTCAGATCAGCTCAGCTCTGGCTATTGCAGCCACTTGGAGTGAGGAAGACCTCTCTCTCTCTCTCTGTAAAATCTGCCTTTCAAATAATAAATAAATCTTGGGCCCAGTGGAGTGGCCTAGAAGCTAAAGTCCTCACCTTGCATACCCAGGATCCTATATGGGTGCTGGTTCTAGTCCCGGCAGCTCCACTTCCCATCCAGCTCTCTGCTTGTGGCCTGGGAAAGCAGTGGAGGATGGCCCCAGGGCATTGGGACCCTGCACCCATGTGGGAGACCCAGAAGAAGTTCCTGGTTCTTGGCTTCGGTTTGGTACAGCACTGGCCATTATGGTCACTTGAGGAGTGAATCAACAAACAGAAGATCTTCCTCTCTGTCTCTCCTCCTCTCTGTATATCTGACTTTGTAACAAAAATAAATAAATCTTTAAAAATGCAAAGTGGAGCCTGACATGATGATTAACTAGTGAATCCTCCCCTTGCAAGCATCCGCATCCCATATGGGCACCAGTTTGTGTTCTGACTGCTCTACTTCCCATCTAACTCCTTGTTATTGGCCTAGGAAAGCAGTAGAGGATGGGTTTGGGACCCTGCACCCGTGTGGGAGACCAGGTGCATGCTCCTGGCTCCTGGCTTCTGATCAGCTCATCTCCAGCTGTTGCAGCCATTTGGGGAGTAAACCAGTAGAAGATCTTTCTTTGTCTGTCTTCTTTCTAAATCTGATCTAATAAAAATAAATAAATCTTTTAAAAATAAAGAGGTAACACTCTACCCATGCCCTTTTCAAAATTGGGTAAGTGGCAGTAAGTGATTTGAGGCAAAATTACTATACTTACTTGGTTCAGGGTTTTTTATTTTAACATTTGCTTACTTATTTGAAAAACCAAAGATCTTCCATCTCCTGGCTCACTCCCCACATGGTCACAATGCTCATAGCTCAGCAAGCTGAAGCCAGGAACCTATAACCCATTCAGGTCTCTCACATAAGATGGCAGGGGCCCATGCATTTAGGCACTCATCTGCTGCCTTTCCATAGGCACTAGGATAATGAAATGCACTGGAAACATATAAATGCTGGCCTCTAATTCAGACAATTTTATACAAAGGTAGGCTGGAATATTTCTCTGTTTTATATCAGTCTTAGCAAGATCCAGATTTTTGTTCTTTTTTTTTATTTTTCATGATACAGTTGCTTAGTAAGGCCGAGATTTTTATGGCTCTTTTTGTCTCTGCATTGGCAAACTGCGTTGTTGGCATCAGTAAATGGCAGTTACACCAAGATACCTGTTAGTTGGTTTCCAATGTTTCTATGAAGTCAGTATTTTAAAAAAACCCAATATATTTATTTATGCATATATTTAGTTAGTTTTTATTTGAAAGACACAGATAAAAAGAGATCTCCTAAGTGGGTGCAGGGGCTTGGATGGCAAGTAGAACAACTAAGATTCAAACTGGTATTCATTTTGGATGGTAACATCACAGATATTAGCTTAGCCCTCTATGGAGCCCCAGGGAGCAGTATTTTTTTAGTTCATCATATTTTCCTTTGAAGTCATTATACTGGTTTTGCTATACTATTCCATTCCTACCAACTGTCAGTTCACACAAGATGCCTTCTCCAGGCGTTATGCTTTGATTTTATTGCCATTTCCCATCCACAAAGCACGCAACATTACCTATAAAGTGTGCCTTTCCCTATTGGCCATGGCCTTCTCTCAGATCACTTGTTGATATTTAAATATACTCAATCTCTGAATGGATGAAGAGGGAGATTACTGTTTTGTTTCTTATCTAAGTTGAATGATTATGCATAACAAAATATTTTCAGCAGCTCTCACAAGTGCACTCTTTTCAGATAAAAAGAGGGACAAGCATTGCGCACGTTAAGCTTCCGTGTACGATGCCCACAGTCCATATAAAAGGAGCATTCCGGACCTGGTGCGGTGCGTTCCGGACCTGGGTTCCCATATGGACACCAGTTCATACCCTGGCTGTTCTACTTCCCTTCCAGCTCCCTGACTGTGGCCTGGGAAAGCAGTAGAGGACAGTCCAAAGCCTTGGGACCCTGCATGCAATATCATTCACTCTGTATATCTGGCTTTCTAATAAAAATAAATCTTTAAAAAAAAAAAAAAAGCAGTGCAAGTCCAAACCACTCTGCCTTCCCATGCAGCAGATGAAGAAGGTCCAGAGTGCTTAGGCAGCAGCAGAGAATGCCCCTGTCACCCATGGGGGAGACAACTGGAGTTGCTGACTTCTAGCTTCAGTCTGCCCGAACCTTGGCTACTGCAAGCATTTGGAGAGTGAATGAGAAGATGGGAGGTGGATTGATCAGTATCTCTCTTTTTCTCTCTGCCATACTTTCTTTTAAATACCTGGAAAAAAAAAACTTCAAAAAAATGGCTATTTAAAGGATAGGTCAGTGTTATCTTGAAATGGCTACAAAGAAATTGACATACATCCCACATAGCAACTGTGTTTAGAATCAAACATTTTTTTTTTTTCTGAATTGCTATCAACATACACCAGGAGTGGGGCTGGCATCATTGTTCAGGAGGTTAAGCTACAGCCTGTGACAACTGGTATGCTATATGGAAAATCCACATCAAGTCTTGTGATCTAGCTCCCTGTTAATGCACCTGGAAAAGCAGTGGAAAATGAATAGCCCAAGCACACTTGGGGCCCTGCCACCTACACGGGAAGCCCAGCCTCAGCCATCACAGCCATTTGTGGAGTAAACTAGTAGATGAAAGATCTTTCTCTCTTACACCATCTAACTCTGCCTTTCAAATAAATCAATCTTCAGGGAAAAAAAATGGGGTGGTGTGGTAGCCTAATGGCTAAACCCTCTCTTTACATGCATTAGGATCCTATATGGGCGCAGGTTCGTGTAACCATCAGCCCCACTTCCCTTCTACCTCCCTGCTTGTATCCTGGGAAAGCAGTAAAGGATGGTCCAAGGCCTTGGGACCCCGTACCCACGTGGGAATCCAGGAGGAAACTCTTGGCTCTGGGCTTTGGATCAGCTCAGCTCAGGCTGTTGTGGCCACTTGGGGAGTAAACCAGCAGACAGAAGATCTTCCTCTCTGTCTCTCTTCTCTGTGTACCTGACTCTCCAATAAAAAAATAAATAAATCTTAAAAAAAAAAAAGGAAAGAAAAGCTATACCAGAAGTGTTATCTGCAACAAATGGCATTGCAACTTACAAATAAAACACATTCACGCACATACCCAATAATTCACAAAAGAACTAGTAATATCTGAAAGCCAGGCCTCACCAAATCAGCGAAATGTCTCATAAACTAAGGATATTGTTTTATGTGTGAAGTCAGCAAAAACAGAAAACATTTTCAATACCTAAATGACTGCGTGGGAAAAGAATAGACATTATGTTTTGGAAAGCTATTATGGCAACTCTTTATAACGTTCAACTCTTCTGACAGTTCTGGAACTCTGTAAGGAAATAATCCAAAAACAGATTAATAAATAAAAACTGAAGACATTCATCAGATAATTTTAAAATTATTTTTTATTATTTCTTTATGATACAGTTCCATAGGCTCTGGGAGTTCCCATCCCCCTTCCCAAGTCCCCTTCACACCCGTTGATCTCCCCCCTCTAGTATTACAATGGGTAGTCCTTCATTATTAGTCAGTCCATTATTCCGCTATTGAAGTGTTTCCCAACACTGAAGGCATGGAGAATGTCAGAGAGTCCAGCATCCTACTGTCAGGATATATTCATCATATAATTCAAAACAACACAGTGCCATGAAAGCATGAAACGACAATTGCAAAAAACTGTTTAATGTGGAAATATGTCTATTACGTTAAACATGAAATGCAATGTAAAATAGTACATATATGATCAGCTTTATAGAAAATGTGGGTAGAATGAAAAGAAATGAACAAATTCATTAACTCTATCTCTGGTTGGTGAAATTATGGATAATTTTCCCCCCACATTTGGTGGTTATCCTCAAAACTACAATGAATATTTGTTTAGCTGATTTCTAAGCTGAAGGAGCTATTCAAATGTAAAAAGAAAAAGAAACAGATCATGTGGTTCATGATTTCAAAACCCTACTAACAAAAAATTGAAAACAAAAACTAAAAAGGCAAACAATATCATAGGGTAGGCATTTACAGCATATTACAAAAGTCTGAAGGATACTCTTATACTCTTATTTACGAAACTCATTCAAACAGGTATTACCAATATTGAACACTAAACTTAGAACTCCAAAACATAAATCAGTATGAACTACCATCACATGAAAACAAAACGGCCGAGAAACATATGAAGGAAAAAGGATCCAAGCTCACTAGTATCTGTGAGATGAAAAATCAAAAGAATATTGGCTTTTATCTATAAAAGTACAACCAAAAAACACTATAGAGTGCTTGTGTAAAACTTGACAATTTTTTTACGTAGGAAGAAATTTGGCAATACATAGTAAGTGTAAAAAATGTTCATAACCTTTGATGCCAATAAAGGTATCCTAACCAAATAAGAAGCACTTGTATTTTGTTTTTCATGTTTTATTCCGAAGGGGGGAAAAAAAGCAATATTTTCTTTACCCTGACACTGGACCAATACACCAAAATAGTAACATTTAAAGAAAAATCTTTACTGCAGCAAATGGCTGGTTGCCTCAAAGCATCACACCAGATAACAAAACAAGCAGGGTGTGTCCAGTCTGCTGCGGTCGGCCATTTTGGACCCTCTGCAGAACAAAACACACAGGACATGAGTAGATAAGGTTAGCCACCCTGCCAGACTCTAAATGAACAATTCCCTCTCTAGCTCTCTATCTCTAGTGCTAGGCACTGAGACAAAACCAGGAAGACAGGTCTCTTTTCTTAAGTGGTTTAAATAACAAACACAACTCCAAAAGGATGGGTTAAGCGTGGTGTTTTAAAAGCACAGGATTCTGGAACTATACTACCTGGATACAAAAATTCCATCTCAGCCACTGTAATGCCTTGGGCAAATTACTTAACCTACATGCCTCAAATTCTTTTATTTGTGAAAAATAAATAAAGTACTTCTGCTTCATAGGTTCTCGAGAAGTACTAAGTTAAAACATACACAAAAGGCCAGTACCTGGTACACAGTTAAATATACCTAGGCCCGGACAAGGGACCGAGCCCGCCTGAGATCACAGCTAGGGCTACTGTGCAAAACTTATCTTCATTTCTTCAAGCCTACACCCTTTCTGTTACATACGAATTCCTCAGTGACAAATTAGAAGTTTTGGTGATTAATATCAGATCCTCACTGGCAGCCCTCAGATAAAAAAAAAAGAAAGAAAGAAAACAAAAATTCCAATTTTGCTCTGCAAATAAGCTGTGCTGAAAGTTCTACAGAAGAAAAATAAATTGAGGCGGGGTGTAAGCCCGTCTGTAATCCCCTTAAGTTATTTATCCAAATTTTAAATTAAAAAAGCATGAAAAGCACTTGGAAATACAGCCAAACCCTCATTCCGGTGTTCTCAAGGGAAGACAATCTACAGCTTTCAGCCAACCCAGCAGTGGTTTCTCACACTGCAATCACTGTGTGCTGCTATTCTGACGGTATCAAAGTACGCAGAGCCAAGTAAGCACAACGGCCCCAAATCAGCAAGCTAGATAACGGGGAAACCTCTGACCGTGCGCTACCCAAACGTGGCCAGCCTCCCAAGTGCTGACACTTCACGCATCTCCTACACACAGCCAGCTGCCCCAAGCTTTACCCAGTCATTGCCACGGCGTTTTTAAAACCTGCTTTATCGATAGGCCGGAGAGAAACTCAATTCTGGGTTAGGGTCTAGTCGATTTTGCCAAAAGCCGAGGACTAATCCAATTCAGGCTAAACCTTTCACTTCACTAATAAAGGCCGATCTGTTTCTCGGCAGACCCTCCTATCCCCCAGACGGTCAAGCCGCTTACCTAACCCCTCGCCATTTTGCGACCTTTATTACGCGTACGCTACGCGCCTCCCCCTGCCCCAAGTCGTTTCATATGAAATACGTATGTGCGCCCCTCTCTCCCTAGTGCAGAAGCCGTCACCATGTTGTCTCAAATACGCATGCGCGCCCTCACTCGCCCTCGAGCACTGCGCGCCGACAGCCGGCAAATCTGCTGTAAGTACGCATGCGTCCCTTTGCTTTTTAGCCCCTCCCCCCGCAGCCTCGCGCTCGCCTCTTCCCCTCCCTCCCCCCCCCCCCCGCCCGCCCCAGCCACGGAGCCCCCTCCCCTCGTTCCAGGCCTTCTCGAAAATAGTGGAGCGCCGCAGCTCGGGACCCTACTTCCACCATCCAGCCTCTCAAACACCGCAAGCACTGCGCCTGTCCCTCATTCCCGCCCATCTCGCTACCAGCTCCACAGTTTTTAAATACGTATGTATTTCTCTCTGTATGCATATTTGCCTGACATATGCACGTGTCTTCTCACCACAGTAGTATCCCAGTGCCCAAGTACGGCCATTACCAGCCTTCCCCAATTTGGGTAGATATGATAAACTAGAAAAGTTGACTACGCGAAAGAAAGCGTTGCAGGTTATCAGAGTATAACCCAAAACTACATGGAATTTGCGTGGCTGCCAGGGAAGGGATACAAGATCATTTGATGCATGTAGTAAGACAGCTAACCTGAACAAGGCAAAAACAAGCAAACAAAAACTCCAAAATGAACCGAATCCTAAATCCTTGCCCTTTAAATACACCTGTTACTAATGAGGACCCTCGCATTTTTTTAGACAGCGAACGAACGTTATGAAAAATGCCGGTGCTAAGGTATTTCAACCCTGGTTACAGGAATCTGCACCCTTTTCAGAATAGGCATTGCTCAACAATCCGGTTGGAGGGCTAAGGCTCTTACTAGCCCCCATTTTTTCCCTCCGGGGACCCAAGAGATTGCACAAATTAAAGAGCTCTCAGGCCCGAATTCCCTCCATATTACAATCTTCCCATAACTTGCCCGTTTACCTCCTGGCTGAATCGAATGTCGCAGTCGTAGCAGGAAGTCCTATAGCCAGCCGTCCCAAGCTAGGGTAAAGTCATAAGCGGGACTGAGCGAGGGGTGCGAGTGAGGCAGCAGCAAGCCATGCCTCCAGCCGCAGGACTGAGGCCGGAGAGGGACAGCCTCTCCCGAGGCGCTGCAGTAAGCCTCCCGCGCATGCGCTGCCCGCTGCCATCCCCCAACCCCCCTCCTCTCCCGCTGCGCTCGTGCCCGCTGGCTCGCTCGCGCTCTCTCTAGCTCGCGCGCTCTCTAACTCTCCAACGATAGGTCTTTCCCTCTCACACGCACGCACGCTCGCGCACACACACACACACACACACACACACACACACTTCCGTCTCCACCGCCAAACACACACACACACACTCCCGTCTTCACCGCCAAACACACACACACACACACACACACTCTCTCTCTCTCATACTCACACTCCTGTCTCCACCGCCATCCCCTCCGGGCTTTGGGAGCCTAATCTTTGTCACACAACCAGAGATTTTCATTCATTTTCCAAGGCTCAGGTCCCTAGCCCACCCTGCATTCCGCTTGCCTTTCCTCTTGGACATACAGACCTCCGGACCTCCCATACCTACTATCGCTCTAGCCTTCTTTCGTTAATCCCACTCCCATCCGTCCTAGACTCCCCTTCCGTGGCTGGCAGTCTTCGCCCCCCCTGTCGTCCTTAGTGGCAACCCTTAAAATTCCCGGATTTCTCTGCCCTTCTGCAGCCCAATTAATCATTACTCTTCTCCGATGCCTGATGTTACAAATTGTGAAATAATAAATCATGTTTTTTAAAATTGAGAGTCATATGCACACACCTTCTCCCAAACTGCCATCAGGCTGGGCTCAACCATTAGTTTGAGGCAGAGCAAAATTTCTCCTCAAGGCCAGGCGCGATAGTGCAGTGGTTGGTGGTTAGAGTCCTTGCCGTGCACGTGCCGGGATCCCATGTGGGCGCCGGTTCTAATCCCAGCAGCTCCACTTTCCATCCAGCTCCCTGCTTGCGACCTGGGAAAGCAGTCGAGGACGGCCCAAAGCCTTGGGACCCTGCACCCGTGTGGGAGACCTGGAAGAAGCTCCTGGCTTTGGATTGGGATCCTAATTGCTGCACTGAGTCCTTGCCCCACTTCACTTTTTTTTTTTTAAGTTTTATTTATTTTTGTTACAAAGTCAGATATACAGAGAGGAGGAGAGACAGAGGGGAAGATCTTCCATCAGATGATTCACTCCCCAAGTGAGCATTACCGCCAATGCTATGCCGATCCTAAGCCAAGAACCAGGAACTTCTTCTGGGTCTCCCACATGGTTGCAGGATCCCAAGGCTTTGGGCCATCCTTGACTGCTTTCCCAGATCACAAGCAGGGAGCTGGATGGGAAGTGGAGCTGCTAGGAATTAGAACCAGCGCCCATATGGGATCCCGGGGCACGTTCAAGGTGAGGACTTTAGGCGCTAGGCCACTATGCCGGGCCCATAGAGCAGGCATTTTCAGTGTGCACAAACAGATGTGAGTAACTCTCTCCTCTCAGTCTCTCTCTCTCTCTTTCTGTTTCAAACTTAAAAAAAAAAAAATTTCAGAGCCTGGTGCCATGGCCTAGCGGCTAAAGTCCTCGCCTTGAACGCCCTGGGATCCCATATGGGTGCCAGTTCTGATCCCAGCGGTTTCACTTCACTTCCAGCTCCCTGCTTGTGGCTTGGGAAAGCAGTTGAGAATAGCCCAAAGCCTTGGGATCCTGCACCCATGTGGGAGACCTGGAAGTTCCTGGCTCCTGGCTTTGGATCGGCATAGCATTGGCGGTAACGCTCACTTGGGGAGTGAATCATCTGATGGAATATCTTCCTCTCTGTCTCTCCTCCTCTCTGTATATCTGACTTTGTAATAAGAATAAAATAAATGTTGAAAGAAAGAAAGAAAGGAAGGAAGGAAGGAAGGAAGAAAGAAAGAGAGAAAGAAAGAAAGAAAGAAAGAAAGAAAGAAAGAAAGAAAGAAAGAAAGAAAGAAAGAAAGAAAGAAAGCTAGTTTGAAAATACCAAAAACTAAAACCCATGAATCCTTAAATCCTGAGATTCTAAAACTTCCACATCCCCATGCTCCTTACTATATTAAGGGGCTGGCGCATTGGCTCAATGGGCTAATCCTCCACCTCCAAGCACTATATCCCATATGGCTGCTGGTTCCTGTCCCGGCTGCTCTACTTCCCACCCAGCTCCCTGCATGTGGCCTAGGAAAGCAATAGAAAATGGCCCAAAGCCTGGGATGCTGTGCCTGCATGGGAGACCAAGAAGAGGTCTGCTGCTCTTGGCTTTGGATGGACTCACCTTCAGCTGTGGTGGCCATTCAGGAAGTCAAACAGCAGATGGAAGGTCTTTGTCTCTCCTTCTCTCTGTAAAAAGCTGCCTTTCTGATAAAAATAAATAATTTTTTTAAAAATGCTATATTAAGATTATTCAGAAGGACTGTGTCATTGCCTTTAGTGCCAGCATCCCCCATGAGCACCTATTCCAGACCCAGATGTTCCACTTCTGATCTAGCTCCCTTCTGATGTGCCTGGGAAGGCAGCAGAAGGTGGCTCAAGTATTTGGGTCCCTGTACCTTTGTGGGAGACGTGGTAGAAACTCCTGGATCCCAGCTTTGGTCTGGCACAACCCTGCCTGTTGCAGCCTTTTGGGAGTAAGCCAGCAGATTAATAGACTTTCTCTGCCTATCAAATAAATAAATAAATAAATTTTTAAAAAACAAATAATTTTGTAAAAAAGGTTATTTGGAGAAATAAGAGAAGTTTGTATTTTTACATTATTTGCACAAAAACATGATAAAGCAATATGTATATGCAGGTTTAAAAAAAATGGAGAGAAACAGAAATAAATTATGCTTTAGTACCATGAAGAACCTCTCTCATAAATTAGACACGTACCTTATATAAAATTTAAAATATCAGATAAGGGAATTTTACCCAGAGTGCTACCATACTGTTAACAATAAATGCTTTTCTTATCTGGACAATAAGATGCTGGACTCTATGCTTGGTATATGCTTGCAATGAAAGAATCTCAACTGAACTTGAACTGTGGTAATACAACAAGGTGGAGGAATCCACCATGGGGGAGGGTTAGGGGAAGGGTGGGGGAAATCCCAGTGCCCATAACACTGTGTCACATAATGCAATGTAATTTATTTAAAATAAATAAATAAATAAAAAACAATAAATGTTTTTATTTCTTTGTGCTTTTTTGTTACAACAGTTTTATTGAGCTGTAATTCACATACTATACTAGTCACCATCCTAAAGTTTTTGGCATATTTACAGAATTGTAAAACCATGACCACAATCAATTTAGGAATATTTTCAGTGCTGCAAAAAGGAATTTCATGCCCACTAGCATTGTCTTTGTCCATTGCACACTGCTATTACAAAATACCATGAGCTGGCATTTTATAAAGAATAGAAAAACTTCCCTAATCTATCATGATCTAATCTGAAGAAAAATTCAGGAGGCATAGCTTGTAAATGCGAAACATCATAAAATACTTAGGGTCCAGGCCCAACTCAGTTGGCTCAATTTCCAAGTTCACAAGCAGGTCCTTTTTTTTTTTTTAAAGATTTATTTTATTTTTATTGAAAAGGTAGATATACACAAAGGAGAGACAGAGAGGAAGATCTTCTATCCGATGATTCACTCCCCAGGCGGCTGCAACGGCTGATGCTATGCTGGTCCAAAGCCAGGAGCCTCTTCCGGGTCTCCCACGCGGGTGCAGGGTCCCAAAGCTTTGGGCCGTCCTCGACTGCTTTCCCAGGCCACAGGCAGGGAGCTGGAAGGGAAGTGGGGCTGCTGGGATTAGAACCGGCGCCCATACGGGATCCTGGGGCATGCAAGGCGAGGACCTTAACCACTGCGCCACCGCGCCGGGCCCCACAAGCAGTTCTTAAGGGGTAATAATGGATACATTTGGATTCCTCTACTATATGCTTAACTTAGTTTAACACTCTAAGGCTTTGTTTTCCTCTTCCACCCCCATCCCATCCTACATACATTTCTTGGGAAACTGACTTTTTTTTCATAGGTTGTGAGGATTCATTTTATGTTCCAATTCTGGATCATGGCACCAAGATATTTTTGACCATATATTATTCTAGATATTTCTGTGACAGTGTTTACACATAAGATTGCCTTTAAAATCAGAAGAGTGGGGCATTGTCACACAGCAGGTTGAGTTGCCACATTGCAATGTCCAAATCTTATATTGGAATGCCAGTTTCAATCCCTAGAATTCCCTGCTTCTGATCCAGCTTCCTGTGCTAATGCACCTGAGAAGTAGGGATGATGACCCAAGTGCCTGGGTTTCTGCAATCCATACAGGAGACCCAGAGTTCCTGGATTCAGCCTTGCCTAGCCCTGGTTGTTGTGGATACTTGAGGAGTGGATCAGCAGGTAAAAGACCTCTGCAACGGTGTGAGCCTGGGCCAGACTGAAGCCAGAAACCAGAAACTCCATCCAGGTCTCCCAGACACCTGGTAGGGACCCAAGTATTTGAGTCATCACCTTTTGCGACCCAGTGTGCAAATTAACAAGAAGCTGGAATTGGAGGCAGAGTCAGGACTGAAACCCAGGCACATCAACAGTTATTCAGGAACCAAAGATACTCCATCTGCAGCTTCCTTTTCTGTCAATAGAGACCCAAGTGCTTGAGCCATTGTGTAATGCCTCCCAGGAGCCCAAGTAGCAAGAACCTGACATCAGAAGAGGAGCTAGTACTTGGACCAGGGCACTCTGAAATGTGGTTCATGAACCTAAATCACGTTCCTACTACTGCAGGACATAATGGATCCTGCATCTCTTCTCTTTATGGACAATTGTATCTTATTTTTTTCAAATGATCACTAAAACGGATTACTCCAACTTGTTATAATTCCTTTGTTTTGCATTTGTGCATTAGATCTCGCGTGCTCTGCCCACAGAGCACGTATAAAAGCAGATCCCCTATGAACTAGATCACAGAGGAAGCTGAGCTAGACCACAGAGGGAGCCTAACGTCTTGAAGAAATCCTACAGGTCACATTTTCTGAACACGATAGAATTCAAACTGAGACTTCAGGAGCTATATGTC